ATGAACGAATATCTCGGGTGAATTCATGAGTGTGGCAGGGAGGTATCATCCCAGAACACAAAGTTCATCAAAACTCATGAATCTCGCGAGGGGACGCATGAATATCCTGAGGAAAATCCCCCAGAACGTGAATTTTACCATGAATTCCATTGAATTTCACGGGGAATACCACTTCCAAAACGTGAAATTCATCTTAAACAAATGAATCTCACAGGGAAAACTTCCATAAGATATGAAATTCATCTGAAAACAGGAGTAATTGTAGGAAAGAGCACTTACTTGGTTATAGTTGGAACATAGTTTCTGACGGCGGATGCGATGGTGCTTACCGATGAAAGGAAATCAGTGGCAGAGAAAAAAGGGGTGAGAGCAAAGTGTGAAACTTTGCAAGTGAATCCCAGAATCCTATTTAATAACCTGCACGGGAGACGAAATGACACATCGAGTGATATATCAATGTTTCGTCTCTCTGCCACCCATACACCTAGCTCATTATGACCCCTACTCCCTAGGCCATCATTTCCTCTCAAATATTGCACCACATGGCCTACGAACTAAACTCATGTAGTCTTTTCAGCTCCCCGTCAGTCGAAGAACATAGGAATGCTACTCACGAGCACGCTCCAACTCCCGTCCATATAAATACCCATATAAAATCGCCCACGCTCTAGAAGACCATATTATCCTCATAGACACTGGGCCAAAGCTGACGCCCGACGAGCCACTCCCCATTGAGAGCACGAGTTGATCTTAAAGTCATAACTCCTTCACTTAGGAGCAGTGACTTGGGGGGCTCCTGTTCTAAATTGGGTCTGCACTTGGCCCAAACGTCATACGAGGCCCAATCCAGATATGATGCATGGGAAGCCTAACAAGATTAGGCCTGCCCTTGGCCCTCCTTCAGGTAGGATCCACCCCTGCTCAACTGCTGGGGAGGTTCATTTCGTGCCTTATGAAGTCGTGATCGGGGGACAGACGTCTCTTCCACGCTCACACCGAGGGCCTATCCTCCACGAGCCCTTCGAGGACATCCTCGTCACACGCCAGCCGAGGATCCATACCCCAAGTGCCCGCCACAACATGGTCTATCCTCGCAGGGCACATAGCCAACGTCTCTCCAGACATCTCAGAGTGCTCTTGACCCCGAAAAGACCGCGTTCATCACCTCCCTGATATTTCGGGGCAGTTCACCCAGAATGGAGGCCACGTGCTGGTCTCCACTACATACGTAGATCCTGACAGTCTCTATTTTGGGCATGTCCAGTCGGCCCAACATGGGACCTTGGTCCAGCGTTGGGGGCTATAAATGCCTTCTCACACTAGAGGGTCAGATGTTCATTCATTCACGCTCTCACTCTCTACTTACATTTTCTCTTAACCTTACTTTGGCATTAGTGTGTCTTGTATGTACCCCTAGTTCACTTTCAACCGCCGTTTAGTTCAAGCTTGTGGGTCATCGACAATCCCTTCTAGACAAATACGATCAGGAGTAATAGTTCAAAATTAACCCAATTCAAAATCGACTATTCATATAAAACTTTGAGATTATTTGGTGAAAAATATAACGACCTCATCAAGAACCTCGTCAACTTAGTCTATCCCTCTATTACCAACATGTAAAATCGAGACATTGTTTCTCATCATCCTACCCTTCAAATAATATTGAAGGGTAAACATCATCCTCGTATAGACTCATTATTCTAATTTTGACTTATATATAGATTTTTTTTCATTCCGTATTATAATATACTTTTTTACAAAATTTATACAAATTACAAAATTCTAACAATAAATTTATCAAAAATACCCGTTACATTTATACAAGTATCCGTATAATTATTTCTATGATAAAATAGAAAAAATAAAACTGTCTTTTCAAAATGTAAATCAAATACCGTTATTTTAGTATAAGTGACATATTTACAAAGTTAATGATATTATTTTGTTGGGGGAGTTTGAAGAAGTCAAAATAGACAACCTCCATTACTATAAGAGAGAGATATCACATCTCCATCAAAAACTTAAAACATGGAATATATGAGTCACACCTCTTATAAATATAACATCATATTCATTCATCATCTATGTGAGATTTAACAATTCACACTTCTATCTTTACACTTCTATCTAACATTCTTCTAACATTTACAATTGTATCCAACAATTTATTCACAAATATGAGTTTCCACATCTTATAATAGAATCTAATTTAAGATTCAACTCTCACTTTCTCAAGTCGAACAAAGACTTTAATATCATCTTTTGAGATGTTCGAAAAAGTTAGAAGCAATAATAAACTCAACTTTATGACCACAAAAGGGAAATGTTCAATATCTACTCAAAATTTTAAAACATTACTTATATGTAGGGGTGTTCGCGGTGCGGTTTGGGCGGTTTTGAAGCAAAAAATCATCCGAACTGCAAGAGAAAAAAACATGCAGTTCGGTTTGATTCGGTTGACTTTTAAAAATAAATCTGAACCAAACCAAATCAAACTAATGCGGTTTGGATTGGTTCGGTTGTTTCGGTTTTTTACAAAAATAACTATTATGTCATACATACAAATATATAGGAAAATATAATTTTATATTTAATTGTTCATACATTACCATAAAAAATTTATAATTGTCAAAATAAATTTATAATTTGATACATAAAATTGCGTATTATAATTTCATCTAAATCTAAATAATGATATCAACAAGATTGCATTCTTAAATAAATATTATACAAAGAATATGATAAAATATATTTTGTGAAAATAGTATTTATAAATGAATAATATTTTATTTTTTATGATTTGTAAATTAAAATGAATATAATACAAAGTATGATAAAATATACACATAATACATGTTGATTTCTCTAAAGAATTATAGAAATATATATTGGTTAGTAAGATTTTATAACATAATGCGGTTTTGTTTGGTTTGGTTTGGTTTGTAAAATACAAACCGCAAACCGAACCGAACCATGCGGTTCCACGAGAAAATGACTCAAACACATCCGAACTAAATACGGTTTTTTGTGGTTTTGGTTTAGTTTGGTTCGGTTTTGCGGTTTTCTATTGGCCCGGTTTAGTTTTGAACACCCCTACTTATATGAGTTACTTCATTTATAAAACTATATAAATTTAACCTGTCATACTTACACACCGGAAATAATATCTAACTCTTTATACACCAACATTTTAATAAAAATATAATATATTTATGTTAATTTTTTTTTGGAAATAAAAAAAAATATTTATTTGATAAATTGAGAATGCTCTTTATAATTTGACATACAAAACATTTAAAATTAAATAAAATGAAAAGTAACTTAAAAATCTATTCCTTTTTTTGTGTTACTTGAATTATAAAAAGAAAAGGTCAACATGTGAAATCCAAATGTTTCGGTTATTCACACCTTTGTTTTGTTTACGCAAAACAATTTTATTGTTTTAATTTGATGGCCTCTAATTCAAACACCCTCACCACTTTTTGTTTCTTCTTAATTTAAACATCATTTTTGATATTTTTAACCTTCTCAAATCTCTTTATCCAATTTTTATAATGTTTTCTTTTTCACTTTGCTTCTTTTTTCATATAATAAATCCCATCTTTCAAAAGCCCACAAATTCACTCTTCCACAAAATTTCTTTTAACAAGGTACGTTTTCAAAACATCAACATTCTATTATTCTTTCTTTGTTATGTTGTGTATTCACTCTTCCTTTTTCTTTTTTGGTTGCTTGTTTCAATTTTCAAATTTATTTTCACAAGTTATTGAATTTTTATATTGCTTCGGGTGATATCGAAAAGAGGTGTGTTGCATAAATCATTGTGTGACATGTGCATTAGTTGCTTTTCTTCTCCTTTTAGAATGTCAAAGGAACATGGTTTTTTCTTTAAAGTATTGATTACCAATTACTCACAATCATTAGAGTCATACTTTCTGCATCTTCAAATTTTTATTGAAGATAAATGCCTTTCTTTTTTTTAACATTTGACAAATACCATGTGTAAAGAGAGATACATATTTAAGAAAGAAAAGTTGGAGAAAAAAATGGAGCTATATGCTCAAATCTCTAACAATACATTATCATTTTTTTTTAAATAATATAAATTTTCGTATAAAAAATACATTACCGAAAATATATTTCTCAACTTACACCCAACCAATATAAGACCTAATCTCAAATATAAAAAACAAATATATGTTAGAGTATCTTCGATTTTAGATTAGAATACTTAAAATTGAATTTGAATATATATAATTGATTTTAACAATGTTTGGTTATTATCGAATATAATTGATTCAATTTTATAAAATTGATTCAACTTAAAACTACGATTTATAGTTTTTGATTATAGACATCAACATAAATCACTTTATTTTTAATTAAAATCAATCTATTCAGAATTATTTTTTTTCACCGCAGAATCAAACACACGATTAATTGTTATCAAAGATACGTTAATAAAAATTATTATTTTTTAAAATATTTTTAGTACAATATTTTAGACATTTATGAGGAGTTTAGAATTTACCAACAAGGCATATTGTTATATCAAAACATATTTTTTCCTTTAATGTTTGTTGGGCCGGCTCCTCTATCAAAAATACATATTGCAAGTTATTACTATTCATACACCCAAATCTGTATTTACACCCTACATTCTTTTCACGTGCTTTTTTGTTTTTCTTTCCCCACATCACATCTCATATCTCCATTTTTATTTTCCAGATATATCATAAACTTAGAATAGATTTTTATTTTTTATTTTTTTCTTTAATAGTCTAATAGTTGAGATTTCAACTTTTAAAATGAATAAGTGAAATGTTGCAAGTTCAAATTTGTATCTATATAAGAATGTTTTTGCATAATTATGAACTAAGCTAGTTAACCGAAAAAATAGACATCTCTTATATATCACATTTAACACATTATTTTTTTCTTATATGCAGGTCCTTTTTCATAAATAAACTATTATCTAAGCCACCAAAAAAAAAACATACATGGCAACAAAACCAAAAGATCCTAATAGTATTATGAGGAATAAGGACAAGAAACCCTCATCTTCTAATACACCTACAACCTCAACGACAAAAAGACTCTCAAGACCATCTTCATCAAGTTCTGTGGAAAATTCCACCTCACAAAACCCATCAGAAAAACAAATCCCAAACTATCTCAAACCAACACTTAGTTCACAACCAAGATCTCAATCCTTTAGAGTAAGAAATGATGATAATGTTCCAAATAAATCTCTTCTAAATAGAAGAAGATCTTTTGATAAACCACCATCACTTTCAAAGGTACAAAAACAAACTCAACATTCTCCTTTAAGACAACAACATAAACCACTTGGTCGAAACATTATCCCTTCTTATAAACCAGTTTCAGAAAGAATCTCATCAAAGACTCCAAAACAAGATGTTATCAAGAAGAGTAATTCAAAGAATGTTGCCACAAAGAGTAGTACTAAAAAAGAAACAAAAGAAAAAAATAATGTTGCTGGAAATGGACCAGAGCCAGAAGTTAAAGAGGCTATAACAAATGAGGAGAATATTGGAGAAGTAGAAAAAGTTGAGAATATTGGAGAACATGGCCAGGTTGAAAATCTTGTACCTGAACTTAACCAATGTCAATCTCAGGTACAAGATATTGTACCAGAGATTAACCAATCTCAAGTGCAAAATATTGTACCTGAGATTAACGAATCTCAGGTGCAAGATATTGCACATATTCATTATGATAATGAGAATCAAGGGCATGATCAAAATATTCTACAAATTGAATCTCATAATGAGAAAGTGGAAGAGATAATTCCTATGGCGGTGTTAGAAGAAGAAGCTAAGGAAGATCAAACCAAAGATGAAGTTAAAGAGAATGAGAATGGAAATACAAACCTAGAATGCAACATTAACAAGAGTGATGAACAAGAAACAAACCATTCAACAAATGAAGAAGAAGTTGTTGAGGTTAAAGAAAAAGAACAAGAAGATATAAAAAATGAGGAAGAGTTTGAGAAGGAAGAAGAATCAAGTGAAGTAATGGAAGTAAAAGAGAAAAATGAGGAAGAGTTTGAGAAGGAAGAAGAATCAAGTGAAGTAATGGAAGTAAAAGATAAAAATGAGGAAGAGTTTGAGAAGGAAGAAGAATCAAGTGAAGTAATGGAAGTAAAAGAGAAAAATGAGGAAGAGTTCAAGAAGGAAGAAGAATCAAGTGAAGTAATGGAAGTAAAAGAAGAAAAGGAGGAAGAGTTTGAGAAGGAAGAAGAATCAAGTGAAGTAATGGAAGTAAAAGAAGAAAATGATGATGAAAAAGTGGAGAATGAGGTTGAAGAAGTCTCCAAGGTGAATTCACCAAAGGAAAAGGAAGAAGAAAGTAGTGTGGTGCAAGGGAAGAAAGAGTCGGGTCAAGTTTCCAATGGTGTGATTGAAGAAACTGCAAGCAAGTTATTAGAAGAGAGAAGGAATAAGGTGAGAGCATTGGCTGGTGCATTTCAAACTGTCATTGATCATCAAACCACCAAATGAAAGGAGAATTTTTCATTTGGTTTCATGTGAGAAAGTAGTACATAAATATTTGTGTAATTAATTCCTTTGTGATTAACTTAACATCAATTCTTAGTACAATAAGCTTTTGTAATTATATATGTACAATAATATTTTCATTTGTTATTATTACGTTTATGTTTATTGTATTGTATACATGTTTTATTTGTTTGTTTAAAAGGATAATAAATAGTGTTAGTTATTAGGGCTAGCTTTGATTCACCATAATTAGGAGTCATATTTTTTCATTTGTTTTTAGTGTTCGCTTTATGAAATTTGTTGCATGAAAATAAAAAAAAGTTACTCAAGAAATATTTGCACGAAGATTATGAGATGATATACGTTCATTGTGAGTTGTATTTTGTCTTTGTAGGATTGAACCAAACTCAATTATGATGGAGTGTTTAAAATAGTGTTTCTAATGTCAAATCTTTACATTTATATTAGATTAGATTCTTAAATAAGTTTATAAATAAATAAGTTTATAAATAGAGTCAAATTACATGTAATTTTATTTTTTAGTTCACAATTTTTTTTAATAAGGCTCATATATTGCAAAAACAAACATTACAAAAGAGGAAGGGAGCTAAAAATCTCATCAAAAGAACGAAGAGAATCTAAAGAAATGTATATCTAATCTATTATTTACAAAATCTTTCTTAATCCCAGAAGGAATGAAATCAAAAAAACTAATGGGATTAGAAGTCAGACTTATATTTACAAAACAATTTGTGTAACTTTTACTCTCCCAATAGATGTGAGTGATAAAAAGATTAGTGATGTTAGATGGATACGTGCACTTAGCCCAACGGGCTCTAAACCTCCAAGGCACCAAAAAGTGGTTGGAGAAAGCTTTGACCACCAAAAATGAATCTGATTCGATCCAAAGCTTATTCCAACCATTACTCTTAGCAACATCAATATCCTTAAGACTGCGCTAAACTCAACATAAGAAAAAGAACCATAATTAATTCTCTCAGCAAAAGCAAAGAAAAACTCACCCTTGTGGTTACGGAAAATACCACTATAGCCCGAAGTGGTTGATGGAGGCACAAAGGCACCACCACAGTTACACTTGGTCCAACCAAGGCAAGGAGGACTTCAAATCACCTCTTTAATGGAGAGAGCTTTAGGGGAGGGATGGGAACGCCAAAAGCTTTTAAAAAGACAAAGTCATGCATGGAACCCGAGGAGGTGGAAGATGAATTATTAGAGGAAAGCTTCACCTGGGATATAATGTACCATAGTTTCTTATTTATGACCTAATTGCATAGTTTAATGGATTAATAACAATTTAGGGTTTTATCAAGACAATCATGTTTTCTTAAGTATTTTACACTATTATACACATCAAACGAGAGGTTGAAATTTGCTTTCCAGGAAGTGGAGCCGTCCTCAAATTCATAGGTGGCTCTCCCCAAAATTGATATGTTTGATATATGTGGGTTTCTATGTACGAATGTTTGTTTTTTTAATGTGAGTTATTATGCCTTTTAATGATATCGAGGTAGAGGTTCTCACATACCTAAAGATTTTAAATATTAGAAGATATCGTCTACATTAACTATTATACCCCAATTTTTCCCCTAAGACCCCACGTCACTTCATATAATCACAATGCATCAAGATCACACATTAGGGTTGGTTCCCATTTCTACCCTCTCCTATCTTTGAGTTTGCTCTTGAGGGATTACCAAGAACCTTGAATTGTGTATCTTATGTATGTATTTTGTGTTTGTTAACCTCTAACCAAAATCCAAAATTGTGTGTTTTTTCTCTATGCTTTGAACATTGTAGGTATTGAGCCAAGTACATCTCTCTCACCTTGTAAGCTAGGGTTTTGAAGGATGATCCTCAGTCAATTGGATATTTAGTGGATTATAAATGCTTGAACTTCAAGGCTATGGTTATGGCATCAATGTTCTATGGTTTGAGGACTCTCTCAATTTCATTTGGTCAAGATTGTCTCAAAGTCGGTGGTTGAATTCATCAAGAAACTTCATAGGTTCATGTGTTTATTTTCATGCCTTCTTCAACAAGTTTCATCAATAATTTAACCTCTCCGTCAAGTGTGCTTCAATATAACATCATTTCAAGGTCTATTGTGATTCATCATGCCTTAATTTGAAAGAAAAGTTCAAAAGATTCAAAGTTGATCCAAGTGATTTGACCTAATTTGGCAAGTCCTTGATTTTATGGTCACAAGTGCATAATTATCTCAATTTTCAATATTTTGAAGTGGTTCTTTTTGCCATGGACTCTTCTCATCCTCAACAACAACTTCTCTTTACATGACAAGATCCAATTGTGCGAGGAAAATCATCAAAAGTTGAAGAATATTATAAGTTATTTTTGTAATTTTTGAGTGAGGGTTTGTCAACTTCCCAAGACCATATCTTGCTCAATTTTTGATATTTTGAAGTGATTCTAAAGCCATGATTCTCTTCAAAGAGTCCTTAACTGTAAGAACAAGATTTGGTTCTGCAATATTATCTCTGAGTTTTGATGATAACAAATGAGTATGATTGTATGAACACTTTTGTTGTACTAATGTTTGTTATTATTAAGTACTTAACAAACAGGTTCTGCTTCTGATGGATGGTGTGGCCAAGACATTAGAAGGGAATTAATCCCGCTTCTATGCTACATTAGTTCTGTTGAACAGTAGCAAGGCACTCCAGAACGTTCTGAAGTGTAAGCCCTGATATTTGTCTAAAGAAACCAGTCTGAAGATCTGAAGACAAAAGTTGGTACTTACGTCCAGATGCTGAAGACTCGCGTTTCTAAAAGACATTGTATTCCAAAGGAAAAAGTTATAAGATCTGAAAACAAAGTTTCTACTGAAGTCCAGATGCTAAAAACTTAGTTTCTAAAAGACAACTTATTTTTTCAAAGAAGAAAACGTTAAGATCTGAAGACAATGTTTCTAACTGAAGTCTAGATCCTGAAGACTTTGTGTTACTGTTGTACCCCAAAATTTGCCCTCCCATGTTCCTCAAGATTTGACAAGAATAATCTTCAAATTATTCAAATTAGCTCAAGGGTTGTACAATCAAATCACCTCCTAAGACAGCTGAAATTAGGGTTTTGGTTCTCTCAAGGAATTTGGGGTTTTCAATAGGTCAATCAAGTCTCATAGGCCTATGTACATTCTCAAGCACCTACATACCAAGTTTCAAGATTCACAATGCCAATTTGCACAGCCAAAAGCTCCATTTGACCCACAGTCAATTGCAAGGGCAAAATGGTCATATTACAGTCAAAAGTCAGAATTTTTGGTCAACATCTTATTTTGAGGTCACAATCATCATTTGATCAAATCTTGATCATGATTCCACAAGGATGGCTCAAAAATCATCAAGGATGCAAAAGTTACTATTTTTGGACAGTAGAAAAGTCAACTGTATCTTGACCAGGGCATAACTTTTTCATGGTTCATCAGAAAAATTCCATCCAAAGCTCATTTTGAAGAGGATGTAATTTCCTACAATCCATCTTCACACTCCAAGACCAATAAATGCTCTCACAAGAAGTTATCAATTTTGACATTATAGGTCCCTTTCAAAAGTCAACAAAAATGCACTTTAAGTAAAAGGCCATAACTTGAGATTGATAAATAAAAATGACATGGGACCAAAGGAATTGGTTAGAGGACTTCAATCCCTTTCCAAAATGTCCAAGAACATGTTCATATGATCAAAATTGAGCAAGATATGCATTGGAGAAGTTGGGAAATTTTTATGAATTTGCAAAAGTCAACTTTGCTCAAAACACCTTATGTTTGCTAATGGGCCTCAAATCTCTTCTTGAAACTTCATCCATGGCCTATGCACGACCCATCAAGCTTAATTGAATTTATTTTCTTATTTTTATTAATTAATTGGATTTTTAATTGATATTAATTCATTTAATTAATTTAAATTGTAGGAAAATACAAAGATTTGGTTTTTCAATCTTTTTGTGAAGCAAATATGACCTAAAAAGGCTGGCAATTTCGTGCACCAAGTCAAAGATACAAAATCTCCAAAATTGGCAACTTTGTTCAATCATGAAAATGCAAAAAGATTTGATTTTCAATCAAATATTCAATCATCATTGCAATGGATTCTTGCTCAAGATTTTGACCTAATTCCATTCCTCTATATATATGCAAGTAAACCCTAACTCATGGACGTGAAAGAAAGCTCCAGAAAAGCCATAGCATATTGAAAAATTTCCAAGAAAACTCAAAACTGACTTTGGCATTCTAAAACGATTCAAAGGTTTTTATTGATTCTAACACATTGCAGGAGGTCCCAGGGATAATTTGCAATTGAATTCACGTGCTAAAACTCAAGGAATCATCACGCACAGAACCACGGTTTGCCACTTTTTTTCAGAATCGTAACTCCTAATTCATGCACATATAACATATTTTCTTGATTGTTTTGTGTTAATAGGGACCATACGAAGCTAATGGTATAGCTTAATTGAACTGAAACGCCATAAATCCAAAGATGCCATAGTTGAATTTTTAGGGTTCATAAGCTTTGAATTGGGGCTTTGCATTCCAGGAAAAATTAAGACTCATAAGGCATATGGTTGGAATCGTTAAACCAAGACGAACATGATGCACCCTTCGCGAAATATTTATATACACCACAGTGCTATTCGCTATTTTTACTTGCTGTAGTTTGTGGGGGTTAAAAACCCCCGCTATCTAATGTTCTTTTTGCAGGAATGAACGAAGAAGATGATGAGGTGTTGGTGTCCCATTGGATTATTTAAATCTTAGCGCATTTTTTCATGATTTCAGCATATTTGTTTATTTTCTTATATAATATTCTCTCTCTATCCTAATAACAATTAAAGTAGGTGGTCGGAGTGGTTAAGGCATTAGCTTGGAAACGTTGGGACTTGGGTTCGAATCCCAGGTCCCTCCAAAACGCTTATATTATTTTTCTTAACATATTCACATGCAGGCTTCCAAAAGTGATCCACCA